GTGGCGGTATGCCTTCTGCGTGGGTTTCGTATCTCACAGAATTGACGTAGTAGAAAAACAAATTTAACAACCTACTCGCGAGCTCCCATATCGAACTTGATCAAACAGTAACCTCGCCTCTATGTGTCTTCATGTAGGCGTATCATTAAGTACTGCCTGGAAGATTGTGTAATAAGTGTTACTATTTCAAATAATTCATAGCGAATCTCGTCAAACCTTTTATTACACATAGCTGATGGCGTGATCTAAGCAATTACGTTTAATTCTATAACACATGATGACAAGTAAATGAAATCTGATATACCAAACGGTATATTTGTTTTGCCTTTCGGTGATATCTAGCCTAGTTCTACTGACCTCGTAGCCACTACCGAAATATTTCGTGCAAGTGAGATGGCAAGAATATTCCCAGCTACGGCAAACAGCTGCTTACAACCATCCTGAATCCTTGAGGTAGTTGGAATAGCAAACATAGTAAAATAATGTAACTATAAGCACTTCATGTTACATGTTTCAAAACTGACAAAACTCATGTTTTGAACGCCAAACTAATATCTTTAACCATAAAACATGTACGCTTGAGAGCAATATTTCATGGTTTTATTTCGGCTATCCGACATTAATGGAATAACATCGCAAATAACTATATATTCAGTTCCTTTAGTAATGTCAGTAATAAAATTCTGTGGAATTATAGTATTTCCCCTCACATGCAAATGGTTTCTAAAAACAATTTTTGCCTTCATTACTTTTTTATGTTTTACAGATTTCATTTTTATCTCTATTTCAACCCTAATTTGTATTTTCGGTTATATTTGCAAGTTCTATTGTGTAACGTGTGATCTGTGAACATATTGCCTAATAATCACATGTTACATAATAGATATATTAGGTTATTTATATTTTCAAATTTATTTGAAATTTTCTGCGCTGAAGAATGTTATCTTGACTACTGATATTCCTTACAATTGCACTTTCCTTAAAATGATCATCTAGGTTCATAAAAAACAGCAATTATAATGAGTTTTCAAGGTGAACTTCAAACTAATTAAGAAATTTCTAAATATAACTGATGCTTTTTCATAATTTTTTAACACCTATATTTTACTTGACGATTTGAAAATTCAGCTTGCCATCATGATATTCTTGTCTTGCATGTCCAATTAGCGGAGTCCATCGATTCACTCTCCACTAAACCTAGTAAATGAGGGGAAAGGTCAAGTTTATCCGATGTATTCAGTCCTGGTAGAAGATGAACCAGCTCGATAGGAAATAGATTAATCAGCTACAAATAACAGCTCACCGATAGGATCTACTCGATCATTCAGCACTACTGGTAAACATGTCTACCAGAGATATCAGTTTGGATAGCGGAAATGTTTAGGAAGAGTTCACCGAAAGTTAAACAAAAGTTAGAAATTTGTTTATTAATGTTGTCCTGACGTTGACGTGAGGCTGTGGATTATAGTTTCGTACGCTGTAGGTAGGCATATGTTGCAGAATTCGAAACATCTGTACTTTAGTTGATGTATAACAACGTCATTTCCTCCTGATGTCGTACTAATTGAATCTATTGTTGCGTCATTCCAAACCGTGGTGAGATCATTCCAGCACTATGTAAAATGAAACAAATAGCTGGCTAGTATTAACGTGCGACTCTGGATACTGTTGATAATATCAAAGGCCACAGGGATCCGCAAATAAAATGTAATCCTATAGTATCGCCCGCATGACATTTCCTTCAGATTCGGATCCCGATATCTAATCAGGCGCAATGATACGTCTGTTTTGTGACGTAAACATCGGTCTGCTGTATTCTGTAAAGCCTTATTCCAGATAACACTAGTTTTCAACAATCGTGTTTTAAAATGTTAATGTATTCGACATTTTTTATCTTAATAAGCTCCATTTTTCATAACTACATATCAAACGTTATCGTAAATATATTTATTTGTTATTTAAAGACTCAAAACAGCACATTTGTTAATCAAATGACACGAAATGTTTTCTTTTTTTATGATAACCAAGTATCATAGTTCAATTGATCCTATCATGAATTATTCAAAACGTGATATAGTTTCAATTTTAAAACAATAATCGCTTTTAATTTCCAATACCTAATTGTTAAAACGTTAAAGTTGTATGCAATATGTATTATTCCCAAAGATAAATTAACGAAGATAGACATTGATCTCCATCACTATTTTGCCAGGATATCTAGCTTAGAATGAAATATCGATACCACCTGTCGAATTGATGGTTAATGTTAACTACAGTCACTAATTACCGGGATATCTAGCTTAGAATGCAATATCGATATCACCTCTCTCATTGATCGTCAATGTTTGCAAGTATGTTTTTAATTATTTAGATTTGTATACAAATAAAAAAAAAGTTGGACAAGAACGCTCGATCAATCCACATATGAAAATAGTTTGGAGTTCACGGTTGATAACACGCAGCGTATATATCATCTTGTATCTATAGCTGAAAGGTTGATGCAGCAAGTGCTACGCTTCAAGGTCGCAAAAAGTGTTTTGTATGAATATATACAGCTGTGTTGCCAAACAACTTTAGAGAATATGTGGTACCATACTGACTTTGTATATCAAGCTGTATACTGTCAATGATGGTTTTATATCTACAGCCATCATTCCTGATTGGGGTCATACTTTACCAACCGTTTTTGTTGGTGTTTTTTCGGGGTTTCCTGGAACAAAAATTCCATTGCTCTGTCACAGCGCTTGGTTTTTCTGTAGACACAGGTTGACGATTGGAACCGAAACAAAATTTATGCTTTCTGCAATGGATACTATGATGCCACTCATATTGAGAAATATCCTGTTATGTATGTACATCCTGGTTCACTGGCTAAATTATTAAAATCTGTTTACTTCCCCAGTTGAGGGAGTTGCCCTTTGGCTGTTGTGTACGGAGCTGGTTTCAAGTATCCTGTACTTGTTTACTGTGCCCTACGTGGTAGCCTGATTCGATAGATAGACAATCATGAAAAGTCAATGATGAAAGAGTTGCTTTGTTTACATGGCCCACAAGGTACCAGTCTACTTCTGACGTGTATGGTCTGTTACAGATCTTACTCAAATCAATTATTCAATTTGAGATACACATTTTGTTGTAATTTTCACAATGCTTTGCATTAGAATGTTAAATTAATACAACATATTGTCCATTCAGATGGAAAACTAATCACATGTATTTCACAGGTTTGTCTGGAATAATCCAATCATATTATGATATCGATTTCTTGATAATATGAAATTGGAATGATCAATCAATGGTTCATTGTTGATGAAGAAACTCTTTGGTATATGCTTGTTTTCTATACAGCCGCACCTATATGTTGAAGTGATTCTCCCTATAGAGTTCTGCGTCGATAAAAACATTTTGATCGCGGGTTAATAATTTTCAGAGTACATTTAATTATGATGATTTAAAGCATAACACACGTGTACTAAGTACTCCAGACTACCGCCTAGTAAATCTTCTCTTTATGATTCATCACAAATTAAAAACTGAAATAAACTGACATTGTAGTGATTGGCCGCCATCTGCGATAACGCAGTGAATCGGGGGGATATTTACTACATCGCGATAGCACACGAAATACACTTGGTTCTATGCCAAATTCAGAGTTTAGGTTCATAAACTTTCCTGTTTACTGAAGTATTTGTATATCTATCACCATGGAAATGGGTTTTTTGATATGAATACATTAATACCTATTTACATACATCATGTAGATATATTTAGTTAAATACATTTGTCTTAATTATTTCATCGTGTACTGGATACAGACAGAATTCCAAACGCTAATACAAAATATGTTATTTTGATATGTTTGGGACATTTAATGTTGTTTTGTTTAATCACTACCACTTTACCGTCAACTTATAAAGGAACCAAAAGAATTGGTGATTTTTATTGTCTCCTCTCAGCTTTCTTATAAATGGGCACATTAGTATGGTAAATATATATCTTGGGAAGTAGTAAAGAGAAGTTTCGGTAGTTTTCAATCAAACAGTTCTTCTACAATCCTTGTTTCTTTTCCATTTTATTCGGCTATATATACACAAGAAGTGACGTTTATCAGAGAACAATCAAACACTCTATTGACGATGAGCTTACACAACATGAGTGAGAGCTAAACTTTCTATAAATGTTAATTTTTTTTTAAATAGGTATGCCGATAAACACTTTTTGTGATATTTTATTGTTTTTCTCCAGAATATTCTCTACCACAACTAATAGACATTCGGTTGTTTTCTTCTTTATATATATCATATCTTGAATGTATATCGCAATATTCAAACTTAATCATTATTGCACGTTTCGGGTGACGCATTTTAACATACAAAACGGATTTTGAAAACAAAATGGAAACGCTCTAAATGTAACCACGCAAAATTGTTTGCCGAACATTCACATCTGTTTTTGTAAATACAGATAAACATGTACATTCTCTTCCACACGTTATAACTAGGGACCTTAGCATATCATGGCACCACTATTCCTCCTTAACTGTGCTAGTTATCTCCTGTCAATTTCTCATTAATCTGTCATGTTGTTCAATATCAGCTGTTAAAAGAACGTTTAACCTTATGCAACAAATATAAATAGTCTGACTAAATTAAAAGTTTGTTTCTCCGCTAAAACAGAGTTTTTTCGTTGGCACATGTACTGCGATAGACTCCTGTAACGTGTAATAAGTGTCTGATGTTAACTTTTAACACCAACTTTCACGTACCATAGTGCACATAACAACAATGTTCTACACCTCTCACAAATTAGGAATTAGCACTTACTCATTCAAATTATACTATAAACATCATAGCTGACACGAAGTATTTACATGTGGGATATTTATCATATTCTTCGTATTAGGAATATTTATCCTGTTTTTCACTTATTCACATATTTTATAATGATATTCAACAAGGATTCTACGAATTCAAATACAAATTTATATTGTATACTTTCAGCATTGGACAACACTGATGATTTGAACGAGCCTCCAATGGACTCTTACGACAAACTTGTGGCGTGGTTGGTAGAAATGGCAGAGAATGACAACTCTGGAATCGACAAGGCATCCTTTGTCAACCAAATACAGAACGTTTGTACGAAGCGAAAAAGAAAGCTTCGAAACCAAGCCTCCTGGCAGACTTCATGCGACTCATACACTAGCACGGAAACTCCGGCCGTTAGTAAATCGTCTCGTTCATGTGAAGACATTATAGATCCCAATTCGAGGCTGCGTGTGCCTGTGTCGAGCAGACAGACGACATTTAGTGAGGACGAGGAAGACAATGAATTAAGAAAACTATCAAGTGAAAGTTTATATAACGATGCAGACAGAGAACATGATTTTGACATTGTAGATCCAAAGGAAATTTTACTTAAGAAACGGAAGAATTTTCTAACTTCCGGCAGAGCTGCACATGTGTTAAGTTCAAGTGTTGGTAACCTGTTAGATAGTCATGGTGTGCTTGTTAATGATATTAGAAGAAAAAGTTCCAGTATGGTGATCATGCAGGCAAGGGGACAGCACTCTGTAGATATTTTGGATCGACCAGAGTTACCACAGGTTACCGTGCAAAGTAGCAGCGAGGAGAAAATACTGGACGACGAGTTGTTGGATGGCAATATTGCAGATATTATGTTTGCTGTGGAAGCACTCTGGCCTAAAAAGTGATAAATTCAACAACCACCAAAGGTTGACAGTTTTCTAAACCATCTCCCAATGGTTTTAAATTTGTGGAAGACCTTCCTTTCAATGAACGACCAAAGTTTATCTTGCCAAGTCAGACATTGGATGAACGTTGTAGTGTATTCAAATGACCTCCACTTGGTTATTTTCCATTATACGCACTGGTTGTATTTTTGGAACTGATGCACGTGCCTACAATGAACACAAGCAAGGTGACATCATTATATGGCGTCACACTATGAATACGGTTTTGTTCTCTCCGCCATAACTGCCTTTGTTTGCTAGCACATGCCATACCGTTCTTTGATACGATGGCGCTTGAACGTAAAGCAAGGAGATGACATCGTTCTAATGATTATTGACAGTGAATAGGAACCGTTTGTTGTAATGTGGGCAGATAATTTGATGAAGTCATATTCTTTTTTGTGAAACTACGATCTTCTGTTGGAATGATATTTAAAAATCTTTTGATATATTTGGTATACCAGATTATTCTATGCCACGTACTTTCTATGAAATCCTTAAAATGAATATCTAAAACCAACTAGTTTGAGAATTTGAAATCTCTTGATTCTGTCATATTTGCTATCAGTGGATAATGTGTATGATGTCATACTTTATTTAAAATCAATGATATATGTATTTCGTAACATTCCAATTGTTCACAAAAACTTTCCTGACAGTTTTGTCGTTTTGCTCTGACATCAATTTGTCACAATTGACCACTCTGTATAAAGCCCATTTTTGTATCATGAATCGTTTTACCTCATTAACTTCATGTTCGAACAGTGGCAATAATTCAACTATTATATATATATATTTGCATTTTCTTTTTTGTCTGTGGAGACAGCCATATGTCCATTTTGTTATATAGCTGCTTACACTGGCGAGCAATAGATATATCATGGTAATACTTTACCTGGAAATCTTGTTATCATATTAATTTGTAAAGGTTTTGAAAGTATTGCAGAAAACATGCAATTGTCAAATCAATGATGCTGACTTTCAAAATATGAAAACGAGTAGTACTTCAAATAATAATCAGTATCTACAAATATGACGCATTTCAATTTTAATCAAGTAATGGAGCCGTAATTGTTGTAACTTTGATTGTATATTCATGTAAATTCATATCTAAATGTGTTGACAGGTTGAATGGTGGGAGCAAGGGATTTATGTCCACCGTTGTATATATGTATATTTATATTTGTACCCAAATTACAGCAGTGTATTATGAACATCTGGCTTTAATGATTAACATCTGTCTTTCATGATACATATTTTGTTTATTTATCTGTTTATTCATATTTGTTCTTTATTTCTTTTTGATGTATGGTAATGTAATAAAGCATATTTCTTTTTATACAACCTCGGGGATCATAAAATTTTTTTTTCTAATATATTTAGAAATGTAATAATATCTCATCTTAAGTTATTTGGATTTGAATGGAAAAAAATCTTTTATAAAACAAATCTGTGTTTAATTAAGACGTGGATGAATCGGTATAAACATGTAATATGCTCGCTATTAAATTTGTCACAGATAATCTCAAAGCGACGGAATATTCAATACAGTTTTGAGAATAAAATTTGTTCTTTGCTGTTTAAAAAGATGATCCCTGTTTCGGCTGATTTGTTTGGTTAATTTGTTTGTTTATTGTTCTCAATTGACCGCCGTGTATACTTGGTACCTTTGTTGTGCAGATATGGCTGCTGTGTGATATCGAAATGTATCTTATCAACTATGTAACTATGTGTTTGGAGTCGATGTGTTTCCGTACATGTGCGACATCGAAAAGCAATCTTGATTGCTATTTTTAAAAACACAATAAAATATATATACAGATATGTTGTTTAATCGTCAATATGAAGTGTGATAAAGTGTCAGCTTATTAAATATAATCAAATAGGAATTTACTGTGTCGTCACTTAACTTTCCTGTTACCAATGAAATATCACTAACCACATCGATGTAATATTATCATACACATGTAATATGGCCAGTCAGTGCTGTTGTTGGATAAAGATTTCAATTATGAAATCATACTGTAAAAAGGAAGTATAGAGTGAAGTACAAAGGTTTTGTCTTTTCTAGATTTTGCACCATTCCATCAAACTGAATGTTGCAAAGAATATCTAAACTATGTGATCAACGGATTCTTACATATTATTTTCCATTTCATGTTAGTGTTATGAAACCAATTATCAAACCAACCTCTGCATGAAAAATGACTACCATACTGATGGAAATTCAAGTAATGACCTATGTGTCATGTATTTACGTTTTGTATCAGGCGATCTGAGAGAGTATTCCAGAAAATGACATATGATAAAAATAGCGTTATCCTAGTCCATAGGCTTTTTATGTACAGTGTGTAAGAGTAGATATATGACCTCATTCAATCCCTGATGACTTGATCTTATCGCTTAATTTAACGTAGCCTCAATATATATAAGTCATGTAACGCAAAGAGAATGCTGAAAAAAACAGAACCAAAACAGACTTGTATAGGGAAGCAATGTGTTGCAATGACAGAACACACACACCACACATGGTAACAAATACTGAAACGTTATCACTGTAATGAAGGAAGAAAACCCGGAATATCAAAACAAATACCTGTGCTGTCATTTTACAGTATACTGAGTGAATATTTCGTAAATGACATGTTTGGAATATATAAAGTGCAATAATGAAGAACAGTTTATATCATAAGCCTTAGAGCCTCCTATATTGTTTGTTTACCATGATATTTGACATAAGCATGAAATAAAAATGGCGACGGAAGACAATTTTGACTCGTTTCCTGTACAACCATGAGCTGATAATCTTCACAACTGAAAGTCTCGATGACATTTCCAAAAGAACATGGAGATGTCATCTAATTTGAGAACTTGACATCTCTTACTTGGATTGACCAAATTTTTTCTGTAAGTGTCGATGTATTAGAGGAGCTTTTTCAAAGTCTCCGTGTAAATTTTTCGCGTTTGGATTTTGATATTCTTGTATATATTAATCTCATGTACTCCGTTTAAGTATGTCTTCTCCTTCCTTTCCCTAAAGGACAGTCCTTTAATTGCCCGCTAGAGGATCGTAAGAGGCGGCTAGTGATGGTTCACTTTGCATGACCTTAAATTGCCAGATCATCCCTTATGGAAAAGGTTTTTTTTCATTTTACTTCGGCTGTCGCGTGGTCGTAGAACCCCGTACAACATAAAACCTTTCCCCGATATTCACCTAGTCGCACGATTTAATGTTCCAAGGACGGTCTTATTCTTTTATAGTACCTGTATCAATCAGGTTTTACGCATAGCCCTCTGAGCATTGAATCGTGTCTTCGATCCATATCATACTGCTTCTTTGTGTGCCATTATATCATAATTTACATAGCTGTTGTCAGTATAGTGACACAGCAGAGTGCTCTAGCTATCGTGTACAGTATAAGACATCACAAGTCGCCATATACTACATATACTACAATCTTTAACAGAAGATTTTATCATACCACAATTTCTTCACATGTACTCTTTTTGAATGTATAGCCAATTAATAATTGGATTCCATTCCGGAGGATTTTCAATAACTGTTAATAATAAATTACTGCAGGAATTTGGATATCTACTGCTTATATTGTGGTTCACGTGCACTCTCTGCTAACAGAATGTACAAAATTGGTTTGAAGCTAATTACTAATTTTGAGAGATTAAATTGAAGTATGTATTTAAAAAAATCGCTTTCCTTGTAGGTTTTCTTGAAATATTATCACTTTCACACACGACATGCTACCAACAATGTAGCATAGAAAGCATATGCTGGGTTGTTTTCCTTGTCACGTTGATATATTCCCCGTGTACGAAAACGATAACAAACGTCTATTTATGTATGAGAACAAATGGCCAATAAAATATACAATACATCGTTATGGTGAAAAGTTGATTGTTAGTCTTTCAAAAATGCACATATCTAACTTGCTTGCTTCTCAAAGTTTTTGTTTTGTTTTGTTTTGTTTTTTTTTTTTTTTTTCGTTGTTGATTTTACCTTCGGAAAAATAACATATTTAATGGTTTTATTTAAACGTAATCGTGTGAAAACATTCACCACGAACATACCTTTCTACTTTTCTCATCTGACTTTTCTGTCATATTGAGCTCCTTCATTAGTGTTTACGTCCCACTATTATAAGGAAGGCCTTTATTTGCAATACATTTGTATTTGATTTCGATTAATTCCTGCGTGCATCTCAAGAACTTTATTTTTTGATATTGTCATATTCAGTGTCAATTTCAAGTCTTGTTATCAAGAAACATTGGGATGGGAGAGGACACGGGTGGGGCGGGATGGGGTTCTACGTACTTGACACCTTTTATGATAAAGTGTTGTAAACAGAAGATCGAGTCATTCAAAGAAAAAATTATATCGCCAACGAACTGCAGAGCAAAACTCTGGAATGAAACTCTTTTGTGTTGGTAATTTTAATAGAAAAAGATCAAATGACAAATATGTTTTTTCGCAAACTCTCGCACAACTATAACCAAGTAATAAACAAAGCGTGGCCCAATCGACTACATTACATTGCAACCATCGTTTGCACTTTTTCTATAGTTGCCTTCATACATCTATGATGTTTCTATTGCTTCACCTGCTTCAGCTAGCATTCTCCACACAGACTGTGCGGGGAAGCCCTTGCATCCCACCTCGACCGGGTTGCTCCAAGTCTGCCACCCTTTCTCTTGCATTCCATCAGCAATGCTTTGTATTTTCCTCTCTTCCGTCCGTATGCTTTACTACACTTTTCCTCCCATGGAACTGTCAGCTCTGTGGCAATTACTATTCTTGTCGTTGACGACCAAAGAACCATATCCGGCCGAAGGTTGGTTGGTACAATGTCCGGAAAGGTTAGTCTCTGATTAAGGTCTACCGCCAGCTTCCAGTCTCCTGCCTGACAAAGAATTGCGGAAGTTCTCTTCGGTGATGCGGATGTTGGTGTCTCACCTTCCTTCACAAACCTAATCTGTGTATGTCTGGACCTTGGTTTGACTAGCCTTATTCTTTCTTTCCCTTTCCATTATATCTGCCAGCTCCCTAAAGACTTCGTTGTGGCGCCATGTATATCTTCACTGTGCTAAGGCAATCTTACAAAAGGTAGGAATGTGCTGTAATGTTCCTCTGTCCACACAGGGGGCAATCAGGTGTTACTGTAAGGTCCCATCGGTGGAGATTTGATGGTCTTGTCCACACTCCTTGGGCTTCCAATGCAACTGCTTTGGCCTGCATTTGTGCTTCCTCACGATTTCTTATTTCCTTCTGGACTATCCTACGCCTTTCTTCCGCATCAGCCTTTTTCCAGAAGGTGCTCTTAGTTGTTCCTAAACCTTGTCTTTCTACTGCTGTTGTGTCAACAATGTCTTTGTGTATCAGTCTATTTCCAGCCTCGTCAACTGCTTTTGATGCTGACCATTTCCTGCCAGTTCGTGCTTCCACGCACCTTATCATCCCTGGAGTACTTCAAGGTCACGATGAGTTTTGCCTTGCCTGTCTTGAATTCTTCCACTAGCGAAGAGATGGGGAGTTGGAGTTTTGCTGTCCTGCTGTATAGGCCTAATGTAGTAAAGCTTGGAGGAACTCCCAACCACTTCCGGGGGTGTCTGTTGATAATACGCTCCATTTCCTCCATTGCTGAAGTCGTAATCTCATAACGCATCAAGGGCCAAGCTAAGCGTGGAAGGAGGCCATGCTGATGCATCCAAGCTTTAAGTTTCCCTGGGAGACCTGTCTTGTCTATATTCCTCATTCCTTTTGTGACCTGTTGTTCTATCCTTTGGATATTGGCCTTATCTCCTGATGATTCATCAAACCACTTCCCCGGACATTTGATGGGGTTTCCTATGATGGATGGTATTTTCTAACCTGTACCATAAGTTGGAACTGCTTCTTTACTCTGGCCTTCTTTATGACCATTGATCTTGACTTTCTGGGTTTAAAGGTCATTCTCGCCCAAGATACTGTGTCCTCGAGGGATAAGAGTATCTATCTATCTGAATATGAGTGTCTGTAGTGATCGTCAGATCATCCATAAAGTCTCTGTTCGGTGACTGTCTAATGTATCCGGATGTCTTTGGTCTTTTGTCTCTCTTTCTTCTGCTTTGATAATTATGTTCATACCCATTATGAAGAGGATTACTGAGATGGTGCATCCCGTCTCAATGTCATTCTGTAATTCCTGCCATGATGTTGTGAAGGTCGTGGTTGTAAAGCGAAGATGGATCCCACAGAAGTAGCTTTTGATCATTCTACGGAAGTGTTCTGGTACATGATAGTGTTCCAAAGCCTCCTGAATGAGCGCGGAATGGTTCCATATGTGTTTGGGAGATCCAGACATACTACTGCGAAATCCTTCTTGTTGACCTGGGCTTCCCGGCTAAGTTGGGTTACAATGCTAGTATCTTACACGCATCCTGAGAATCCGGGTATTCATCCTTTCTGCACTGATGTATCTACATACTGGTTCTTTGTCATATACGTTGTCAGCCTCCTAGCAAGAACTGAGAAATATCTTCTTGCGATCTTGTTACACTATTTTGGATCTTAATGTTCTTAGGATTATAAAACAGCATAAAAAATTGGTAGATCCCTTATCATATCGAACACTACATACGTCTGTGCTAGTATGCACTAGTCATTTGTATGATGAAGGAAACCGTGTAGTCATTAAAACGTCACACTTAAATGTTTTACTGGTTGTGTTATAAGCACTTCTATTCTACTTACATTTAATCTTGTTATCAGGAAGAGCACGTATCACATTCTGACGTCTCCATATTTTCTTGTTAAGATTGCGACGATTC